TGAGATGTTTTCTGTCATTTAGAATCCCGGGCTATGTTTCGTCTATGATGTGCCCTACACATTTCTAACATTATAAAAACGATATACACGTGAATTTTTACAAAGCCCGAGACCCTATAAGAAATAAGGAATAGAAATAATTTCAGTAATACCTCTAATTCAATTATTTTTATTTAAGGAACTGTTTGCCTATCGCTGCTAGATGAAGAGAAAGATTGGAGGCCAGCTATCACAATCAAACAAATTCTTTTAGGAATTCAAGATCTACTCAACGAACCTAATGTAAAGGATCCTGCACAAGCTGAAGCTTACACTATTTACTGTCAGAATCGTCTGGAATATGAAAAAAGAGTTAGAGCTCAGGCTCGAGCAATGAGTCATCAAGAAAGCTAATTTTTTTTCATAACAAATCCAAACTTATGTTCAGGGTGATCCAATATAAAATTAATGAAAAAAAAAACACATTGGCATTTCAATGCTTCAGCTAAGGTGATATTGAAAATTGATAAAATGACAATTGGAATATAACTTAATATCATTGTGATATAAGATTGGATTTGGAATGACTTAACAAGTTAAAAGAAATGTCACTTTTAAATTTTGCATTGATTTTTCAGTTTGTTCTAGAGAAATTAAATCAATAAACTTTACATCGGATCTCGCAAATCAATGGTCCGAGTTGGAAAAATACTGGGCACAACATTTTAAAGTCAGTTATTGGATCACCTTAGATAAAATTTTTGTCATGTATACGTTTTGTATTTACTTAATAACAAAAAATTGAAATGATTGGTTTTTATGTTTGTATTCTATTGAACTACTCAGTCATTAAATTTTCTAATTACACAACATTAATAGCAATTACATTTTTCAGTGAGTGTCAAAACATCCCCTTGAAAAAATACTTACGATGTAGAGATTACAGTATTGTTGATTCCAAATGATAAATAAAAACATGTCTTAAAATGATAGAGTAACATCCTGACTGAAAGGTGACATCAGGCAGCTAGCAAGTGCCAAGTGACATTAACAAGTTACGGCTAATAAGTGACAACTGACAATTAGCGGGTGGCAGCCGACAGATGGATTATCTGACCGAAGTAAATGAGACATCGACTTGAAATTTTCACCAGATACGCAATCTAATATACAAATCAAATCTATTGATACTGGAAAAAATTGGAAAATTTCCTTTATTCTTTCAGAAGAATTGCAATTACTTGCAAATTGAATTAACCTATTCGAATATTTTTCATGAATATGATGAATCTGGAAAACTTTATTTCAATCTTGAAGTGCGCACTCTAACAAAGGTCAAAGTATTAACTTTCAGCAAACTGATACCTTTATTCACGAATATCTATTGTTTCAACTCCTCACTCGAAATTCGGTCTATTCCCCACTATCCCAATTTCCGTTCGAAAATCCAATTTCGACTCGAACTCAATTTCTCATCCTGTCTGCAGCATCCTCAACAAGTTGAACGTGAAATCTCTTACTGAAAAATCCAATTTCACCTGATCCATTATTAATTGAGGAACATGTATTTTAAACTCATTTGTCAGTCTGGGATGCAGAAAAGGTGTCATCAGGTGACACACTGATTTGGCGTATCAGAATTGAATTGTAAGACTGAAACTCCCTGAGAATTTCGAAGCTGCGTGTGGTATCAGCGATGTTTTTAAACCCTGTTACTTTGCCGCTTTTCATGAAGGCCATTCATGGTGAAACATGGATGAGAAAACGTGTGTATTTCGGGACGCCCGACAGAAGAACTAATCTAAGTTTAACCATTTGATATTGAAATTGTTCAACTTTCTTTTATTTGTTATTTTCTGTATGTACATGAGCCAGGTAGAACACAAAGTAACTTATAAGACCTTTTTTGTTTGTATTGAAAATTCGAACGAAAAAGCATACAATCATTTTCTTTGGTAAATCTTGTAGATTAGAAATTATTTGCGAAATAGTTGACAATACTATTTACTTTTCCAGTTTGGAGACATTGTGGTAGTATTCATATTATTGATATCCCATTATAGTTTGAAGAATATCTTGAAAGGCACCATCCCACATTATTACTATAAATTTTTTTCTCTTTCATATTTTTTCGATACATATACATGTATATACTTCCGTATTATTATTATTGAACGCTCAGCTCATTTACTTTCGTTTGCCCTACTTGTTTCATTTCTTTCAGGGCAGAGAGTAACCTACGAAACACTGTAGCACCTACAAAAGCAAATTCTATTGACCTCATTCCCTAAACCAAACTGGCTAACTTGCATGGTTCTTCGTGCCGGATCGGTTCATCATTTCAATACTTTTGAAAACATTTGATTACTTTAGTTCAAAATCTGTTAAATTACCGATTCATTGAGGAGAGAACAGGTTTTTGTCAATTCTTTTCAGAAAACATTTAATTTTGAGTAAACTACGGGAATTTCGGCTGTTTAAAAATTATTCGTCATACTTTTATTCCGTGGTTGAATTAATGAAATAATATGTCTAGTAGTACAGATCAGATCATATAATTAAACAATTCACTACATTCGAATCTATTTTTAAACCTAATGAATGTATATCAAGACCTCAAATTTTTCTGTATAAAACGCCACATTACCGGTTTTAAATTATAAAAAATCAGAATGCTTGTATCGATTATTTGGCCACTGCTCATACCAACAATTTGTGTTCTAGTCAGAAGATAAGTCGATCCTGTTCAAAATCTCGTCAAACTTTATTAGACTTTCATCCTGCTGCACCTTCAGTGGTACCTGAAGATAATTGAAAAAAACCTATATAATAATAATGGTCTTTATTGGGTAAAATAGGATATAACAACAAAAAAGGTGAACTTCAAAACTGCAGTGTAGAACACTACAGGTTCCTTACACCACTTTTAAAATGTAATTCTAATTCCGCTAGGCAAACAAATAATAGCGATTCTTTTACAGTAAATGATGCTGCTCATTCAGATACTAATAAAATATCCATTGTACATCCTCCTTGGGAGGATGTACAATGGGTCACATGTGGCCTAAGTGCGTGGGCTTACACTCACCCTCCCTACTCTACAGATACAGAGATACAGATCCAAAGTAGGAATGTGTCATATCATATTCGATAGTGGTGCACAATTGTTTATTAGTAGAACATTTTCCTGAAAATTAGAATTACTTAAGTTCAATATCGCTATGGATGAAACATATATTTCTGCTAAATTAGGAGTACATTGCAATATTGCTTCATTACATAACTCAAATCGTGAGTTAAATTTAGATGCTATTATCTTAGATATAATATGGGACAAGGTGCCTAGCACATCCATTTCTGTAGACAAGTTTCTGTTTATTCCAAATTAAAACGTGCCGGTCCACATTTTCATAGGAGTTAGAATATTGATTTATTATTAGGTAACGATATTTTTCCTTATACATTGCAAGACAGCCGAATATACAGGCAGTTTTTTTAGCTGATCCCACTATTGTAATATCCCGTAAACGGTAAGACCTACAAGGTCGGGTAATTTGGACAAGTTTTCTTTTTTAGGGAACTAGAATAATCTCTTTTCAGATCAGAATATAAGTGGTTGTTTTTTAAATATTTGCCAAAAACTAGATTTGACCTGTTTCGTTTTTTGACTCTACAATACTGTTTCATATTTGTTATAATCTGATATAAATCAATTTGAAATGCGATGTTTCATTCATTAGATTTCATCACAACTTCATTTTTTAAATACGTCTAGTTTTTATTTCATCAATGCAAATAGTTATGCGATGTGGCGGTGCTCCATCATATTGAAAATAATGATATTTTCTCAACAGAATATTCAAAGGAAAATCTTCCAACAACTCAACTAGAGTCTCTGATTAGAATTCAAAATATAATTGCCCCGTCAAAGTTGTCTAAAAAAAGTAGCGACCTATAATCTTGTTGTCTAATACATACATAATATATACACAAGCCAAACATTTAATTCAAATCTCTTAGAAATTTGTATCTCTATGTAGTAAGGAATTTTCTTGTTGCCAGTGATAATGAATATTTCTATTGAACCATCAATTATTTGTGAATCTACTCTCATCACACCATAAAATTTCATTACTCATTATTATTTTTCTTCTATCATAGTCTGTTAAATGCAGTTGGTGGATTTTTCTGACTTTGCAAGGTCTAAATTTATTTCTTTTCCAAATTTTTTTGATGTGCAATCTGTCTCAATAATTATTTGTTCCCAATTTTTCGGTAGTCCACGAATCCTGAATCGAATAAATATCACTTTATTATTACTGGTTTGGGTATCGCCACCTTTTAGTTACTGTACAACTCTCATTTGAGGGTTTTTCAAATGAATTGTACCGTCTCTCGCTACAATTCCCCATACAAAGCCAGATTTTCAGTAGCATTTCTCAAACATCACAAATCTACTTTCTCGTCATTAGAAAAATTCATGGTTTTTCCCTCACAAATTCACACGAGTCGAATGATTATTTGCGTACTTGACAGTAAATTTGATAATTATATATATTCTGATGAAAAAAATCTGTTTAAAATCTTTTTCCGTTAACCAGCTGTCGCATTCCCACGAACGACAACCCTCAGAAGTCGAAACTTGGGCGAGCTAAGGACTAACGAGGTCTTACCTTTTAACTTGTGATTCCTAAGACGGGTTGGACGATAGCCAGTGAAAATCGATCGTTCAGCCTGAGGCTTGAACCAGCGACCAACACGGCGGTCGATTCGAGTGAGTGAACAAAGCACCCACGTCGAACCGACCAGTACTTGGCAGTACTCAAACTTTTGAGTAAAGCCAAGAAGATGATGATAGCACATCCAGCTGCGGAAAGCGCTCGCATATAATAAACAGAAGTTATAAAGTTTCAAATTCTTTTTGCGACATATGTTAATATTTAAATACTGAAAATAAAGTTGCATCATTCAGAAATATACAGGGCTATTCAAATTCGTTTCTGTACATGGGGATCTCATAAACGTCGGTTAAATTATGGCAAAGTTGCGTATTTTAGAGACCAATTCAATGATGTGAAGAAATTTAATATAACTCTTCTGATTCTGGAGATACACAGGAAAAACCAAAAAAATCGCAAATTATTTTTTTGCCTATATCTTCTTTATTCGCAGACATATTGAAAATCTGTCCACATTTTGCTACTGGCACTTGATATGGCCACCCCCATCTTTGAATTTTTAAATGCGGACCTGTATTTTTTGTTGTAGTTTTTGGATCGTAGTCGTTCACTTCATACTGAGAAATTAAATTCAATTTTATATTTCGGGATTTTTCGGTAATATTCGATTATAATTGAGTGAATTATTCCCTTTTAAATTACGGCCTGGAAATTGGTTGACTGAGTTGAATAAAAATACAATAGCAACTTTCACGTTTCCCTATGTACTGTAGAGTTTTTCGAGAGGTTTTTTCATTTTTAGGTACCTATTCATATTTTTTCCATTGCTCTGAGCGTTTTCTACAATGAACTTCGAATAAGAAAATCTTTTATGATTATCTGAAACATATCTGCTACAAAAATATATGTGTTTTGATGAGCATGGTAGCAATAATAACATCTGAAACGAACACTATAATTGTGCAATAAATGTTCGAATTGGAGTCCTTCCATTTCGAGACAAATAATGGGACAATAAGATGGTCTGCAAGATCACCAGATCTTACTATTTTGGACTATTTTCTATGGGGGACATTGAAAAATAGGATTTACGCTGGCAGAGAGATAGAAAATGTGGAAGACTCGAGATTGAGGATTTTGAATGATTTCACAACAATGCAGGACTCCAATTCGAACATTTATTGCGCCAATAATTTTTTTGGG